TTTTTTTTGTTTGATATAATCCCATTCACTTATTTTTGCTTTTACTTCCCTTTCCTTTGGCATCAAATTCACATAATCTTCTCTAAGACCAAGGTCCATAAGTTTAGTACCTATGCTTTCTTTATGTAATTTATTGTTTGAGATCTTATATTTAGGTCTTTGGGATATAAACCTGATAGCAACAAATGAACAAACAAGAAAAACAAACAAAAATTTATAGACACAGACAACCGTATGGTGATTACCAGAGAGTAGGGGAGTAAGGGGTAGTAAAGGGTAAAGGGGGTAAAACATATGGTGATAAAAGATAATTTGACTTTGGGTGGTGGGCACACAATGCAATATACAGGTGATATATCATAGAATTGTACACTTGAAATCTATATGATCTTATTAACTGATGTCACCCCAATAAATGTAATAAAAAATAAGAAGTCCAGAAGTGCGGCTGATTCTAGTATATCAGGTTCTTGATAACAATTCTCTGCCATTCTTTAGGACCAGCTTCATCTTTGTGCTGGTTATCACAGTCAACAGCAACTGTTTTATTAAACTTTTCTACTGGGAAATAGAACCCTCTGTAAATTTGGGCTATATGTACAAATGAGTCATATTTGGTCTCATGTCCACCTCCAGACTCATAATAGTTGCCAGAGGAGTATCCATGAAGGGATTATTAATTATTCTTTAAAAAGCCACTGCTGGAGATGAGCAAAACTGAGAGTTGGGTAGGGAGGAAGAAAAAAGAAATATATGCTGTAAGGAAATGAATAGAGTTAATCACTGAGACAAATACAAGAATAGGTACCAAAGAGAACCGAAGTCTAGACATGTTTTCAGGCATTATGGCCAAATGAAAATGACATCTTCTTAGTGAGAATAAAGCCTACAAATGAACTGCTAAAATGAATAGTCTAATTATAAGTTGAAGATTTCTTATATAGGCCAATACCACAAAGTAGACATTTAGCATTATTTGGTTTTAGGTGCAGAAGATCAAATACAGTAAGAATTTGTTAGTGAAATTTGAGCGGTATTCATTAAAATGAGCCATATACTTTGTTATGTTAGGCTGAGTTATTCAAAAGTTAGAAAAATCTAAAGTACAAAATGATCAACAAATATTTTTATATTATGCTCCCAAATGGAAGGTACTTTTTTACCTTTGTAATCACTCTTGATAGCTCAATATTATTTGTATCAGTTTTTCCCTCTTTCTTCATTGTATTGAAGCATCAATGAATCTAATTGATTTGTTCTTCACAGAGAACATGTAAAATACTCTTACTCTCTAATAGTCAAAACCCATGTCTGGAAATCTTCTATTATTCCTTCCTGCTTGGAATAAAGGAGAAAAATAGATCTATGTGAGCCTCTTGGATGAGCCTAGAATGATCTGATAATAGGCAGATGCCTCTCCCCAAACTATAGGTCATTACCTGGTGGTAATAATCAGGCTTCTCATATGCTTTTGGGTGCAGAGCACTTTTAGGAGCATGCAGAGACTGATCCCACCTTAATTATTGCCACACTTCAGTGGCTATGTGGACTGTGGAGCATAGTTGGGTAATAGGCTTGTAAAATGTTGATTCAATACAATTTTCACACTCTTCCATTATTCTATTTTCTTAATGTCTAAGTACAGCTTGCTTGAGCAAATAAATACACAAATAAAAGATCCACTGCTTCCCAACCTCCAGTTTACTAAATTTCTACATCAGTTTCTTCTTTGTAATCACAATAATGCCTATTTTTTCCCCTTTGGCTTTCATTTCCTTCTGAAACCTATTAGCAGAGTCTGAAGATTTTGTGGTTCATGGTAATCAGCTGAAACACAGTTGCCATATTTGCTAATATCAAAATCCTTTTCACGTTTCATGGCTAAGCTCAAATGTTACCTCTCCTGTGAAACCATTTCTTCCATTTCTATTTTATTCATAATTGATTACTTCTTCCTCTAGACTCCCACCAAATATCAACCTATACCTCTGTAGCTTGCTGAAAACAATTATTGTACTAGCTAGCACAAAAGTTTACCTGTGCAATAAAATCTATTACACTATAAATTTCTTGTGTTGATAACTTTGGAGGATATCCAGGAATAAGGAGTAAGTTCCTATCTAGTCTGGCAACCCCCTAGTTGAGTTTTCTAGAAGCTAATTCCAAGATGCCCATTTGTTGTGCAAATGATTTAAGGAGTGCTTTCAGGAGAACCCTGTACGTGAGTAGGTAAAGCAGGAGAGGAAGAGGTGAAGGGCCTAACCAAAGATGAAGTCCAGCCTCAGCATGATCCCATTGGGGTCTGTCTTGCCTCAAGACAAAGTGTTTCTGTATGTCAGTTATTGGCTTGGGGCTGCCCAATAGGGACATAAACTGAAGTTTATGTGGCACTGTAGCTCTCTAATACTATGGGCAACTCCAGCCACCCAAAGATAGTTATCGAAAAAAGTTAGTGGGTGCCAGCCCTTAGAAGTAAAGTGGAAACTGGGAAATGAGAGCACAGATCCAACAAGGGACCCTAGAGGATATGAATGGAGCACTGATAGTGGTTACTACAACTAGTAAATCAAGAGCCAAACAAATCAACCATAGGAATAATAATTATAGCCAGAAATTATTGAGTGCTTACTATATGTCAGCATTGCTCTAAGTTCTTGCTAATATCAGCTTATTTAGTCCTTGCAACAACCTTACAAGGTAGCTAATGTTGTTATTTCTGTTTTATCAAAAGAGGAAACTAGATTTATCTATGGAAGTAACATGTCTAAGGTGACACAAAGATTTCATGGTTCAGACAGGATTTCAATCAACAAGTGTGGATGTATGCTTCAACAGCATGCACTTAAACACCATGCTGCTGCCTTTGGCATGGCTTCTCAAGTAGCAGAACCTGAGTCATCTGGCCTGAGTTCATATATTGATAGCTCAGGACAAAATGAGGCAATGCATTTAACACACTCAAAACAGAAAAAAATACTCATCCTCAAAAAAGTTTAAAGAGCCAGAAAATCACTAACTGTATCCTTGATAGATCTTTTGCATATTACACTATTTGGCTAAATTTCTTTACAAAGAATAAGGGAGAAAAGAAAAGGGAAGAAAAATAGAGAAAAAGGAAAATGAAGTACAGTAGATCATTACTAAAAGTTATTGAGAATGACAAAAACAAATATCCTGAGCAAAGCCTTACTCTTATACTTCAATGTTTCTTGGGATCTGGTTATTAAATTATTTATTTCCTGAAGTGATTTTTTAATTCTTTTAAGAATGTCATCAATAACTGGATAGTGCTTGTCCTCTGTAAACAATATAATTTTGTTTGCAGCACATTAGAAAATTCAGTAACTTTTCATGACTGGGGTACCAATGACAAAAATATATTTCTGATTTCTTTAAGACAGAGGTGTCAAACTCATTTTTCACTGGGGGCCGCATCAGCCTCGTGGTTCCCTTCATAGGGCTAAAGGTAATTTTAGGACAGTGCAAATGTAACTACTCCTTAACTAGGGGCAAGGAGCTCTACATGTGGCCCTTCGAAGGCAACCACAAGGCTGATGTGGCCCCCGGTCAAAATGGTTTTGACGCCCTTGCTTTAAGATCATTAACTACATTTTATTTGCACTTGAATTCTTTTTTTAAAATTTTATTTATTTATTTTTAGACAGAGGGGAAGGGAGGGAGAAAGAGAGGGAGAGAAACAATGATGTGTGGTTGCGTCTAGCGCACCCCACACTGAGGACCTGGCCTGCAACCCAGGCATGTGCCCTAGACTGGGAATTGAATGGGTGACCCCTTGATTCACAGGCCAGCACTCAACCACTGAGCCACAGCAGCCAGGGCTATTTGCACTTGAATTCTAAGCGTAGAAAAAGTGCAATAATTTTAATCAAAACCTCTGTTTCTTTAAAATTGGTGGAATATCTTAGAATAATGGAAATTAAGTTTCTCAGTTCTGAACTATGAAAGAAGCATTAATCAAGAATATTTCAATACATTTCCAATTCTAAGGATCCTAGTTGCTTTAGGTACATTGAATATTTTTGCAACATGTGAAGATAATTTTACCAAGAGTTTTCTCCTCAAGTAAAATAAACAAAGCTTCTGATTATAGTTTTGGGAAACATACAAGACATAAAAACTGCATCTTTCTGCTCTTCTATTAAGGGATGATATATAATAACCAAATATATTTATCAAGAAGGTAACAATCACAGGGGATGCAGCAACCAATCAGAATGACAGTATGACCATTTAGAATAAATGATGCCACCAATCAGAATGGATGCTGGCTGAAACATAGGTAAGGTCATATCTGGGGATCCAGCAAATATCAACCCTGCCTATAACTGATGTGAAACTCAGCTGTGCCCACATTACTCAACTTTTCTCACACAGAAACCTATTTGAGGAAATTTAGGTGCTTTCTGGGGTACAGTGGGTACTCTTCAGATCCCCTTCTTCCCCGAGCTATGGTGGAGGCAAATTCCCAGTAAGACTGATCTGAAAAAAGCATTATAAATAAATAATAGCTAATATTCATTGTATACTTAGGTGTCAGGTTCTGCACATATATTATCTTTATTAACATTTACAACAACCCACATGAGGCAGATACTACTATCATCCTTACTTAATTGATGAGGAAACCAAGGCATGGAGAAGTTGAATAACTTATTCAAGGTCATGTAACTAATACATCCCAGAGCTGGAACTAAAATCTGGCCAATTCTTCCAGTTAGCTACTGGTAATGACATTATTACCAAATACGCATTCTCATCAACACTGTATTATTAGCTAAATTCCATTCTTCTGTCTAGCTAAATAACAAAGTACCAAAAATGTTTTCTAATATTTGAGCTATGGCTGGGAATCAATAAAATCACTGGTCAACATTTGTCTTATATGTGGTTGCAGTTGCCCTATATCTAATCTATATCGATTAAAAAAAAAAAAACAACAGAAAGCAGTCAACGAGGGCACTAAGATAACAGAATATTACCTTATTCTCTTCTCCTCCACTTTTTTCAAATATTCATCTCTCTTTAAGACTCCCAGGATCATTTCCTTCTCATGATCTAATAAAAATGAGAGATTGATGAACTCCAAGTTCTTAGACATGGTATTTTAGCAGCAGCTCTGAGTAGCAGTGGCAGAATCTTCTAGGTGAATTGATATTCCCAGTTCTTAGGGTCCCCCTGAACAACCCAGAGTCACTCAGTTGTTTGATATAGAGTGGTTTTTATAAGGTCTTTGAGGAATTGCCAATGTTAGTTAGGTGTTCTTCCAGGCTACACAGAAAACAGGCTCCACTGGGAATACATTCCAAGAAAGTCATTATTGTTTTAACTAAAAAAGATCTCCAAAGCCTCTCTTGTTGTGTACAGTCAGGTGGTAGCCAAGTTTCACTAATGATGCTCAATGTCAATTCTTCAGAAAGCTACAGGGCAGGAATCAGATCCACTGGAGGAGAATCCAGAAACACTGAAAAGGTAGAGAAAACAAAGGAGAGAAAAATTAATTAAGTCATTTCCCCCATAATGCTTGTAAGAGTGTCCAATTTTTGAAACAGTGATATACTTAAAAAAACAATTTTAATCAGTAAATATGCACTTATTATGTCCATATCTTATATTTATTACCAAGAAATATTATTTATATTTAGTTGATTCCAGGTCCTCTCTACAAATTCAGTTTCTTCATTATAATTAGTGTCCTTTACTAGCCAGATCTCATTACCACACTTGCAGTTAACTTGTGGATGAATTGGGTCACCACTTAGGGACACCAAGTATGCAGTCTTGACTGTCCACAATAGGATACATCCCTTAAATGGCTTCTCCTTCTCTCTCCCTCCCTCCCTACAACAAAGACCACAGCGTGAAAAGCACTGCTAACAAATACTAACCAGTGATGCATGTATCAACCTGAAGATATATCAGAAACATAATACTGAATTAAAAACTCAAGTTACAGAAAACTTAATGCAGAATAATAGCATACAGATGAAGGAAATAACTGCAACAATATTAATTTAGGAATACATGCATTCGTATTATAAATGCAAGGAAATTCAGAGAAATGTGATCATAGAGGAGAACACAGGAACTTCAGCAGTATTGAGTAATGTTTTATTCTCAAGATGAGTATTAATGTCTCATGATGTATATAGTTATTTGTGAATTATTCTAGTTATGTGCACACTGCAAAGTAGATGTTCTAAAACTAGTCCCTTATTAACATCAGAAGCTCACCAGGCCCTGTCCTTTATCCTAACTCTTGAGCACATTCTTTCATTGGCTTTTTAACCTGAATTTTCTCTCTACATCCCCTTAAAATGATGAATATTAGTGATCTACCTGATTTTGTGATTTGTCACCATCACATGAGACTGCCCTTCAGCTCCTCTCCTGCCCCAGGTCTATGAGCTATAATCTATATGTAAGTTACACTTGGTTTGCCAGGTTCCCAAGCATAATTACTTATTCAAAGGCTGCTTAGGCTGACCTAAAAATCTCAGGAGATCTGGATGGATAGGATCTTTTGCAGAGCCTTCCTAACTTTCCAAAGTCCCCACGTGTTTGTTCTATACATAGTACACTAAGCCAGAACTGAAGTTACTCAGAACCAAACTTGACCATGAGCCAGACCATGAGCCAGACCATGAGCCAGACCTCTCTGAGAAAACTGTCCTTGTCAGGACAGACATTCTAGATTTACTCTGGTCGTTTTTTCTACTTCCAAAGTCCTAGAGGCAGAAGGAATTCAGAGCCCCAAGGTTGGTATGAACAGGAAACACAAAACTTAAGATGAAAAGACATTCTTAAGAAAGGTTAAGAATTTGGTTTTTCCATCACTGTCAACTGTGTACTCCTCAGCTAAAGATACAAGTGGTTTATCCACCTATGTGTGCCTCATCTAAACTTATGCTGAAATTGGAAAACCACTTGGTAACTCAGTAAATGAATATATTATCATTACAGCCAGGTTCATTTAAGACACATTTTGTATTTGAAATGTCAGATTTAGAATGTCCAGACTATTCTATAGAATTGCATTTAGAAAGTATTCAAGAGGTTGGGAAACACAAAAATGCTTGACCTGAATCTTATGGCCATCCTTGTCTTGGGCTGTAAATGCAAGTCTGCCCTCTAAAAATTCAAGTATCTGCCCTGTGAGGAGAATAGAGGGAAAGTAGTAACACCATGAAGTAGCAAACGAAGAATACAGAGAAGATGGGAAATTAAGCAAGGGCATAAGAGAAATAAAATTACCCCATGAGACTTTAGTTAACAAAATTAGCCTTAAATAAATTTTGGCTCATCTGTACCAGGACTGCAGGAGCTGATTTGTAAATGGCTGGCCAAGGAGATCAGAAGTAGCCAAAACTATACAAAAAAAAAATCAGGATGTTTCCTCTGTGAGGCAGAACTACACTGTGATTATGATTTGGTAAGATAGACTTTAATTGATAATGTAGTCCTCCTGGAGAAATATGAGAGAAGAGGAGATAGGGAGCCTAGACATAGATAAAGGACACTTGAGGAGCTAGATGTCAATGATGCCCATGCAGACTCTGACCAACTCAGGCCTCAAAATGCAAATAACCTGTTTATTCTCTATAACACATGTTCCATGATAGGTGATGGGGCTTCAGTTTGGCAAATTTTCACTCAAACCATACAACTACTTCCTCTTTCTTGATTTTCATTTCCTCTGGGACACTTCATAGTATAAGTTGATCATCCATCAAGTTGTCCCTTCAGTGGTGGATGTCCTGGTCTTGCCAATGGAGTTTACTTTGGTTTGAACCTGTCTTATTTTTTCTCTGTATGCCAATGAAATCAAATTTCGGAGCCTTCACAGAACCAGTCCTGTGTTTTGATGAATTCATCTATGTACCAGGTTTTGATGTCCCTTTTAGATAGTTCATGGAAACATTCTAGAGAATCCCTTATCCACTACACATTTTAATAAAGTGGAAAAAATGAGTAAAAATGATCATGAGTACATTTTATCTAGAGTAAATTCTCATTCTTTTTGTTACATATGTCTGGTAAGCAATAGTCATATTACAAGAAGAAATTCAGTTTTTTACTTTATTCTTTAATACCTGCACTTAAATAGATATCTCTTCTTAGACACTGTAGATGTTGATTTTTCCCTTTCTAGCTAATAACCTGACAAACTGAGGTAAACTATTTTAAAAAGACAACAGGATGGTTTGTATGTCATTCTGTTGCCTTTCAGCGTAGATAGCTTTGAACAGGTCACTAACTGCTGAGCATCACAAAGTTGTGATAACAAATTCTTATAGCATCACACAGCAACAGTTTTTTTAAAAGCATATTTTGAGTAATAGGCACAAAAATAATAGGGGCTGATATTTTAGTTAAAGGAAAGGATATATCTGAATATATCTCATTAAGGGGTACTTGAAATGCTACTTTAAAAATAGAACATTTCTGAAAGTGCTCTTAGGATGAAATTTACAAGAATAAAATTAATTTCCTGTTTGCCTGTTACTGTGTGACAACACAATAATTAGGTAGATTTTTGGCATGCTTAGAGGGATGTTCAAGATACTCAGAATACAAGCTAAACAGCATATGCAAAATTCTCTTGAGATTACCTTTCAAATAGATGAGCAGGCAAGAATTCAGATGACAGCCAAAGGTAAGAACTGCCAGACAGATAAAGATGCTGTGGGCAGAGAAATAGTTCTTTCACTATGAACCCCAACATGGAAGACTCAAGGGCAGATGCTATGAACTGCAGGCATTTATTTATTTATTTATTTATTTATTTATTTATTTATTTATTTATTTATTTTTAGACAGAGGGGAAAGGAGGGAGAAAGAGAGGGAGAGAAACATCAGTGGGTGGTTGCCTCTCGTGTGCCCACCACCAGGGATCTGGCCCACAACCCAGGCATGTACCCTGACTGAGAATCAAACCATCAACCCTTTGGTTTGCAAGCTGGTGCTCAATCCACTGAACCACTCCAGCCAGAGCTGATTTTTAATGAAGCAGTTTCTTCTGACATAGGCATCTCTGTGTGGCATATGTCATAGGAGTATAGTAATTAAATTTTAAAAAATTTCACAGTGGGAGGCTGGATTGGGAATAAAAAGGAGAAAACTGTAATTGAACAATGATTAAAATAAAATTTAAAAAAGAATAAAAAAATTTCACAGTGGTATTGATTCCCTGAACAGTAATAGGAGACCAATTAACAATACCATCAGCTTTGTAGTGATCTAGCATGAGTAACATCCTCAGAATGTTCCACAATAACAGCCAACACTGACATAACTAGTCTTTATAATCACCTCACAAAATAAGTTCTAATATCCCCATTATAGATATGAGAAAATTGAGGAATAGAGAGCTTAATTATCATGCCCAAAGTCACCTAGATGGTGACCCAGAACACTCTTGGTTTCAGGGACCTTGCTTTTAACCATTGGATGGTGACTGTCTCTCACTGACCCCATAAAACAATAGCATCCCACAAGATATTACCAGATACTCTATGAAATCTTTAAAAGTTTTTCAGTCCAATAAAATTTTGGGTATGTTGAGTGAAACCAAGCTAAAAACTTTTTCTTCTACGGAACTAATTGTCTTTAACGCTCTAATGTTCACTGTAAATTTTCATAGAACTCTCAGTTTGGAAAAGGAATAATTTCTTCATAAACACAGAGAGGGAGGATGATTGGCTAAGCTTCTGACCCCTGCTTCACAGGGAACTTCTGTTTTTATCTGCTCTTAAGTTGAATTTCCTGGCAGGATTTTATTTGAAGAAAGAGTTCCAGGACCTGAAACAGTCTGAAAAGTGCTCCCATGATATCAAGCTACTGAATGCTTTTAAAGCCAAGGAAGAGCCCAGTCAGCTTTCTGTTTTAGATTTGTGTTTAGAAAGACATCAGCACTCAGTGATTACATGAGAGACAGGATAGAGGTTATGTTGATGATGAAGAAGCTCTTGCAAAAGTGCCAAGGAGAGATCAGGAACTAAAGTTGTGTTGTGGGAAAGAAAATAAGGGTCATTTCTTAGCTATTTGGGAATGATCTCAATAAGGTCCAGTTACCAACTAGATGTGGGTAGTAAGAAATAGGAAACAGAGTGATTATAAGGTTTCCAGCATGGGGAACTGCAAAGGATTTTAAAATATTAGTGTGTATAAGAACCACCAATGAGACTTGAAGAATAGATTCCTGCGGATCTGATTCAATAGGGCTGGGGAAAAGCCTAGGAATGTTGATGGTAATACTATTAACAGAGAGAGACTACAAGACAAAAATGGTTGGGCAAATAATATAATTAATTGAAATTTGGGCATGCTGAGGTCCAGGTGCTTATAAGGCAAGCATTAACTAAGATCTGTCCAGAAGGGCATTTAGAATATGGAACCACACTTTATCAGAGATGTCTATACTAGAGATATTTAATTGGGAATCACTGGTGCCTACATGGTAGC